GTACTATGCTCAAATTGCTCAAAATGTTTTCGGTGACTTTATCAGTGACAAGTTACCTAATTAGTATGCATTTCGAGAAACCACAGTGTGTGTGCATGCGCAGTTTGAAATAGAACAGTTTGAACGCAATAAAATCACGCGTAGAACTCAGGCTCCAGCAAGAAATTGTGGCGTCAAACTGGTTGTCGGTTGAATTGTTTTGCAATAGACATAATTTTGGAGCCTGTATTTGTCTATGAAATGTTTCTAAGTTTTGTTGAGGATTATTCTGTAAAGAAATTGCTGAAATTATTTCATCTGTTTGTAAATGGGACGTTGTTGCTTTGACGATGGGCTACGGACGACAGACGTCGAAACGTTCCATTCAGATCGGATGGCGCCCTCTCGTGCCAATCCCTCCCTAGTAAAAACGTTCCATTGGAACATTGGCAAAGGAGTTCGAATATTAGAACACGTTCCCATTCCAGTAAGTCAGACCAAATGACCACACACGGGGTTTTGAACATTTATCCTTTGTTTATTCTGCCAGAGTTTGACCATCTGGAAAACCTACACACTTTGAATGAAATGTGGAATGACATAAAATACACGGGAAAGCGTGCAGTTAAAAAAAAGGCTTCGGAGGTGAGGAAACTCGTCAACTTTGATCATGTGACTAAACTTCGAAGTAATCATGTTACGAGGCTAAGTGACAATATCGATGACGATGACGATAACGATAGTATCTCGACAATAGCCGGGGAAACGGAGACGTCGGTTACATCTTTGCTCAAATCATCTAAATTTGAAGAAGACTTAGAAGAGCTAGTCCGAAAAAAGAAAAATTGGCGACATCTTGAGAAGAAGCCTCCTGAGGTTCCGAAAAAAGGTAAGTTAGTACATGTATATGTAAAACGAGAGTTAAATCATTGTACAAAAAACAAAAACAAAAAAACACTGACTTGCTCCGTATAACGGTAGCTATTGTTCAAGTAGTAAATTGTAAATAGTATATCGTCGAAATGTTGCGAGCACACCATCGTGTCTCCACCGGACTTCACGGTTCTGGTGAGTCGATATCAGAATGTGTCAACATGACAAAAATGAAAATTCCTTTACCGTGACGATGTAGCACGAAATTTAAAATAAATATATTCGACTAAAATTTGACGTTGAAGCAAAACAGTTCTCAAAACAACCTGACTATTTGCCGCCTGACGAAGGGTTAAAACCTGAAACGTTCTTGTTGTTCATGTCTGTACGCCCGTTCCTAATGTACACACTATTTGACAAAAATGCTCGTTTTCCAGTACGTACATCATCTTTGACGGCAATGTTCTGTTTTCTGCACCCAGTCTATAGATTCTTTGACAGGGGCGACTTCATATTTGTCTGTTGTATTTACAGCATGGATGGAAGTAGAAGATAAGAACGGTGCCGGGGCTGCTGGAATTGACTGGTTTGAAAAATTAACTGAACGACGGTTTTATAACAGAAACCGTCCTACGAAATCCGGTAAATTTTTGTCCAGCATCAATGGTTACATTTGAATAACTACGCCACAATATTTTCTATAAATCGCGCCCTCTGGCGATAGAAACGATTTCGGTGAAGGAGCTAAAGAAGGAAGTTCTTCATATTCACTCATCAGTGGCAGTGGCACAGGGGGGAGTCGCCTCCCGGGAAAATGTTGGAGGGCGTCGCCCCAAATTAATCTGAAACCCTTTGTGTTGTGTTATATATGTCAGCAAAATTTGCCCCTTAAAATGCAGGAAATAGCGTTTCAGAGGGTCTAGATTTCACACCCTCCTAGTAAGGTCGCGACTTCGGCGCGAGGGATGGTGAGCAGATCCCCCCATGCAACATTTCGTGCCGCAGCCTTTGTCTATGGACAACTTTCTCAAAAGTAGAGAGACTGAGGTGCAGAAATACACCTGCTTTGTCATGACGAAAAATACAAACATGTCAGTTTGCTGATAGTCGATAAAAGAGAATTTTATTTTTGTGACGTCGATTGGTACACCAATAAGCACAATAATACGCGTACGTATCTTCAAGTTCGACTTCCGGGAAAATGATCTATAAATGAAATAAAACGATTTGCCGTGTTGTAAATAATGAATGACTACACAATCAAACAAGGTTGTTGATGTAGTTGTCACCTTGTCAACAACAGCGTTTTGTCGCTAGAGGGCGCGTGTATTAAGAAAGGTGTATTGTTTACATAATAATAATGGACATGAAGATTCCTGTTACAAACCTTACATGATGACACACACACATATCAAAACCAATCTAAAATCAGTCATATTATTATTATTCTATTACAGATGTTCATATGGAAGAATTGAGTGAAAATAACGACCACGATACAGACATTATCAGCACTCGTATATCCTATCAACCTAGTGACGACATCAACGATTCCTTTCTCAATGAATGTTTTCTTAATTTACAACTTTAATTACCGCGTCCAACATATTTTTTTCTCAACATTTTGTAAATAAGTCGTATTGTGAAATAAACTCATAATACATGTACATAGTCGACGCTGACATTCAACCTTCATTTTCAAGTTATCGGCCGTTATTAGCAGCAGATCGCATTTTACTTGTTAGGGTTTCTGTATCCTCAGGTGGGCGGACATCCGGGCAATTTCTACCGCCTGGCAACCCTCGCGGTGAAAACAAAGACCAAAAACTCGCAGAAAACGGTACTTTGGGAAGTTTGTTGAGATTCTCCTGAACAGTGTAACAAGATTAGCCCTACGTGTGTAACATATATAAATTTGGTTGTTCGGGATTACTTCAAAGTTGAGTTTGTGCTGTTTTCTCGAGTTTTCACCGGCTCCACCGGCGTTCCACAGCAGCGCGCACAAAGCCCATAGAAATACGTGGTACAGTGGTGCGCGTCTTAGCAACGTAGAACGTCCGTGACGTAGCTCCGCCCCCGAGGATATTTACATATAACGTGATATATACTACATATAAAATGCAACAATTCTGGTATTTGCAAGATCCGAATCGAATCAAGTATTCTTTTGTGAGTGAGTTTCCGCATCTTCAGGGAAACGTCAACAGGGTCGTGTCCAGGCCTCCAGAGGGCGCCATCTATTGAACTCCAAACTTCAGGGATTTCGGTACAACAACTCACTGGTGGCCCTAAAAATAATTCAAATACATCTGTTGTCTCTTAGTTTTCATAACGCATTCTAAGTGGTAATAGTCTCGAGTAGCATCACTTTGTCCATTCAATTGAGTCTAAAACAATATTTCGGTAAGATTTGGTGATCCTTACGCGGTTATTCTTGTACACCGGGATTGAATAAACTTAATCTATCTGAAATCAATATTTTAAACATATCTCAAATGAGAGTTGTACGCTATATATATATATGTACTATATATATGTACTATATATATATATATATACTGTCAAATACTTTATTTTAGCTGGAATTAATTTTCGCTGAAAAGACTTTTTGGGTGTTTTGTATGGAATTTATTTTCACTGATTTTTGACGAGTTGAACGTAAAATATAGGAAAAAAGGTATTTTCGCTGGATTTTATTTTCACCGAACCATTCCTTCAGCGAAAATAGCGAAAATTAATTCCAAGCGAAAATAAAGTATACTACAGTAGTACATGGTATAAGTATACATATTACATCCCTATCGATATGTGATAAACGTTTTCTGTAGGTTAGTGATAAAGAGAAGAGACACTGGTTTGATAAATTGCAATTTTCACGTACCAAATACAGGAATTTGTTGCCAGACCATAATTAACTGTAGTAGAAATTCCGACAAAGTATAATGTGTTATTTCTCCAGTAAATTCCCGGAAGTGAAACCATTTAAAATAACCAATTGATTATTTATAAATATTTTCAGTAATAAACTGCCCAAATAAATATCTAAAACAAAAATATGTGAAAGGCCCTGTACAAATCTGGCATGTAATCAATCTGATTAAAATCCGATGTAGGTATGAGGCTCCATTTTTTTTTTTTTAAATATTTTTCGATAACCCTTTATATTATATTTATTTGTATTTTAGTTTGATTATGTCGACATATTCCAACTAAAATATAAATAAATATAATATAAAGGGTTATTAAAAAAAATAATAATTAAAAAAAAATTGGAGCCTCATACCTACATCGGATTTTAATCAGATTGGCATGTAGTATTAAAGTTTGTTCAATAAACAATTTTGAGACCCTCATTTTTTATAAAGAGTACGCTGAACTCATCCTTTAAATTTTTTTTTTATGTATAAATATCTCCAATCATAAATAAATAACATTCAAGTAATGAAAGTAAAGTTAATTGTAAATACAAATAGAATACGGTGTATATATTTATTATAGATATAGTGGTACAATACATGAACAACACTAATACGCCGACCCAAGGTTTCTATATAATTGAATTGGAATATCATTATTTATTAATAATAAAAAAACGAAAAAAAAAATATATTACGTATTATAAGCTACAGGCATTTTGTTTTTTAAAATACTCCTAAAGACCATGAGGACAGTGATATCTGCATCCGTTCTCAGAATATTGACACAATAAAGTTTTGTTTGAGAGGGCGCCCTGTGCTAGCGGCTGTGTTTACAATTCATTCAGCGACTGGAACATAAAAGCATAACTCGCACGACGAGTTCATGACCTTAATTGAATGTTTACAAAATCAACATCCCGGTGGTGTTATCGGTTCCATGCAATCTTTCGGGTGTATTCAGAGGTTTGTATCTATGCAGATCGCCAGGTTAAGAGAAGATTACATTGGATGTCGAAGCCGAGATTAGTTTATTTCGTGGTGAGAACTGTCGCTTTGAGTAGTTCATCGTTTATCAACCTTGAGTTTGAGTCAAGCTAATCAGCTGATATCAACATACAGTCAGTATGTTAGCCGTGTGCCGTTTAAACCTGGCGACGTTTCGGGCCACTACATTGACGGCTTCCAGGCTCGCAAAACGATCCATCGCAGTGACCTCGTTCAACAACTCTAGGCACTCTGCATGTGTGTCCCGCACAACTACTAAATCAACTGACCTTGAAAGGCTGCAACCCCTTGCTACTGGGACCCGTCACCGGTCACTTAGCTACGATGTACATGCACAGCGACTCTTTGAGAATGAAGTTAAAAACTTTAAATGGGAAGTACCAGAGTATTTTAATTTTGCCGTGGATGTGGTGGACGCATGGGCAGAGAAAGAAAAGGTATTTATTTTCACCCATAGTCAAACGGGCCAAGATGTGTGGGTAGCAAACTATTGGTGGAATTACTTTGTGTTGTAAACAGCTATAACATGAGCTCAAAGTTTGTCTATACATGATACAGGTGCCGGTAAAAGCAGGTTGTTTAAAATATACAGGTACTGGATACTAGTAGTGATGTATGGGGTGACGAGTTCTCAT